TCGACCTATGACCCACTCGAACAACTTGCATGTCGACACGACTCTGTCGACATGCTCAAATCGGCTTCCCTAAAGTCGATTCTACCAAGAGCAACCGAGAAGAGGCAGAAATTGGTCTAGTCGACTCTCGCAAGTCGACCTTAGTCTATCGACTTTCACTAGTCGACATCAATGGAAGAAGGACAGCAGAAGCATAACGCCTGGGCATCCCAGTATCCTTAGTCGACTTCCATTAGTCGACTCCACTATGACGACTCTCTGAAGACGACTTCACCACAGAGTTAAACCAAGCGTAGCCTCCGAAATCGCACATATTCATAAGTCGACCTCTTAACTCTCGAGGTCGACTCTGTACATCTCGAGGATCAAAGCAGTGAAGACGATTCACTACACTTACAACATATCTGAAGCTCTACACATTACAAAGGATAAGAAGGAATCTTGTGATGACTCAGCAACAAGGGGAGACGAATCGCCCAGGGCATTTTGGACCTTATAGGTCCACCGACTTGGGCATTTTGGGCACTTCAAGTAAGTATCCACTCCTATATAAAGGAGGTGAGGTAACCCAAACCCTAACGCTCATTCATTCCCATTCTCCCCCTTAGCTGCTGCGCAGCATCTCTTCATCACTCTGATACTGACTCGAGCGTCGGAGGCTCTACGCCGGAAACACCTCCGGCGTTAGGTTTTTGCAGGAATCTCGCGGTCTAGTAACGATTGGGAAGCGGTTCAAGCAGATCTGAGCTCACAACAACCGGTTTACTCCAAATCCGAAAGTAGACCCATCATGTTGTTTGTTTTTTTAGCCAACGATAGGAAAAGAATGGAAATATTGTTTTTGGAAATCAAAATTGTAATCATTAATATTACATTGTGAAAGAAAGCCTAATGCCTATTCAACTTGGAAAAGCTACTTTTGGATATTAAAAATGTGATCATTAATATTAACTATATTGTGAAATAGAGCCTAATACCTACGCTACGAAATTTGTTTATAGGATTTTGTTATATAAATAGAGTCCTTATTGTGTTTGAATTAGTTTGGTTGATTAGATTTTTTCTATTGAAATACTCATTAGTAGAAAAAAAAGGGGTCACTTTTTATATCGGTTGTAACATACCCGATGTAGAAAGTAGGACCGTGGCATTTTTGTAATGAAATTATTATTATGTATATATGGTTCTAGTAACCTCATATAAAAACCCAATGCCTATCAAAATTAACATAGGACCTTTTTCCACCACATATTAAATATAAATTATCTATATGTAGTTAAACACTCATCACATATCTTATACTCTTATTAATAAAAAGAAGTTAGTTTGTTCCTTTACTTGACACGTGTATTATTGCTATTAAAAAAATGTTGGATTCATGCTTCCTTAATTTGACGCGTGGAGCTTTCTTTGAAGAGGTTATTTGATACTCTTAAAACGACGCGTTTGTTTTTTTCATTTGCATACGACGACGTTTTTACACATTTTGACACATCGTATTTTCAGTTCGTGTTATACGCTAGGGAACTCAATTTCATTTTATTTCTATGGGCAACATTGTTTACAGATGCTTCCATTGGGATTGCCGTTCTCAGCCAGCGCTTTCGGTGCATCTTTTGTCGTCGTTTTTGGCAAATTAGTCCGGTTTTCTTTGGCGAAGCATTTGCTGTAACGGCTTGCTTGCTTTTTTTGCTTGTGTATTAAAGGTGTTATTCTACATCTTTTTTTTTTTTTTTTTTGAGGAGTAATTTGCATATTCTTTTGATCGAAATTGCATCAAATTAACCTAAAAGATCTCACACATTTCTCTAGGATTTACATTTTCTAATATTTGTTTCTTATACTGCAGCTCATAAGGAAATTTGGTGTGCTGTTACACAATAGGTGTTAATGAAGATGCAAATTCAGGAAAGTTAAATTATTTTTTTTACAATTTTTATTCACGGTGTAATTTTTGTTGGATTTCCGTTGTGGAGGTCCGCTTAATTTTTGAGTTGGTTTGGGCTATTTTTATTTGTGATGTCTCTACAGTTTAATCAGCTATTCTTAGTGTCTTGGATTTTTTTTTCCCCTTATATGTAATGATTTCACATGTATGATGAAGAATTATATATAAAAAAAATTATTTGTTGTAGTCTTTGGTCAGATATATGTCATCAGGAGTGTTTCGATGCTTTCAAGTGGCATTTTATTAAAATATTTGCCAATAAGATCAGGCTAATGTCTATCAAAGATTTCTTTACAGCTTTAGCCTTGATTTTTCATTCTTGGGTATGGTGTATGGGTATGTTGGTTCCTTTTGGACCGTTGGATTCTTGCCCTCACCATCTTGATTTGATGTTTACTTTACAAATTATGTCATGTATATGATTATTAATAATATAATACACCTCAAGCGGTGTATATCTAGCAGATTCTATATCACTTTTCCATTGTACAAGCAACAAAAGTTTCCTCTGCTATTAAGAAGTGGTATGTTACTATTTGTTCTTCCCGTTTCTTGGCAAATCAGAAGAGATCTACTGCAAATAACAATAATAACTACCTACTAAATAAATATTTGCTGTTAGTTATTGGCTTTTCAATACATGGTTGATTTATTTGTTCAGTTTGTAGAGCACAAAATAATATATTTTGTTTGTTTACAGAAGGATAATCTCTGCAATTTATACCTATATGAAACTATATAGTCATTTTTTGTGGTTATAGATTCTGATGTATTAAGAACCTACACATGCTATATTATTCTCTTTCAGTTTTGCATTTGGTAGTGATTATTTTGTACAGGTTCTTAAAGAAAGTGCTCAACTTTATTTGTTTGCCTTTTGATAAAGTTAAATATTATTATAATCTCTGTAACAATATAAAAGTATTTGTTTAGGCCGTAGATCCTGTGTTTTTGTCGGTGTGCAGATGAATGGTATTTACTTTTTGCAAGATTTTGGGTTAACATACTTTGGCTAACTCTAATTCTTTGTTTTTGTCATTGTTGTTTTGAAGGTATTCCTCTATTTGGTTCCTTCAAACTCTTGGTTTGGTTCTGGTGGAGTTCATAGGTTTGAGTTCCTGTAGCTACAAGGTAATAGAATACTCTTTACATTTTCTTATACCTAAATAATATATATAGATTTTACTGTTATGCATAAGAACTTTTGTTTATTTGTTGTGTTAATGCATATATGTACATAATGAACTTTGATTAAGTAATAGCTACTTACTGCAGTAATTTGTTGCTATTGTATGACTTTCAAATATTTTTCTATAACCATATTCTGGCCCATATATGTATATAAATAAATGTGCCGAACATGAAAGTATCGAGTGGAATGGGATGCATGCACGCAATGCTATACGGTTCTGATGGCAAAAGGCTAATCCCTTTCACTTGAACTGAATTGTATGAGGCAGAACAACAAATGTTCAAAATTATGCAGACCAACATATTTAATATATAGATAGTAACAGATGTCTCTTTAAACTCACCAATTGCTAATTCAATAGAATGGCCTGTCTATAAGGGTAAACTAACCAACTTCTTATTATTCAGAGTGCAACCTTATTTAGGTGGTATCAGACAACATTTATTTCATTGTCTATGTCTTTGTGTAAAAGAATATTACTGCATTAATGTATTTTCAGAACTCTTTATATGCATAGATAATTTTAGTTGAAGAATAGTTGTTTCCAAGGCTCTTTAAAATATGATTTGAACCATCAAATTAATTTTCTCTGACTTATGTACTTATTTATGTAGTTTGCTTATAATGAACAATGAAATTTATTAACTCTTTTGCAGGTTAAAGTGATACTCTTTCAGCTTGGGACAGTTACTCAAGGAACTTTTGATTCTAGAAGGTACAGTGAAAAGAAAGATTACTTTAGTTATTGCTATCAGGTCAGTGTATTGTTCCTCACAAATACTTTGCTTATTGTATTTATTCAAGTGGTCATCTCATCATTAATGTTTGATAATTTTTTTACTGTTTATGTTTAGTCAGTTTATTGATGCTAAATATGTGTAGTCAAATATTATAGCAACAATTTTTATTTATCCTTATATTTGTCTAACATTTGTTCTTATTTAAATAGTTCAAATTATCCTAACTATATAATTTATAAATGGTTCTATGTCGTAACAATTTAATGAAGTAAGTTATTGCATCTTGCTGTTGTTTGACTTAGGTATTAAGAACCTAATAAGTGTACTGCTTGCATAAAAAATTAGAATAGTAGGCAATATAGATTAATATATAGTACCTTTCCATTAAAAAAAAAATTACTGATACCTCTCCCGTATTTATATACACTACTCTTATCTCTACTAATATTTTTGCTTTATTATCTTAGGTTAATTTGTCTAATAGTCTGTTCTTTATAGTTTCTAAGGCTGAACATATAGTGTACTGAACATATCGAACTTAGATAATTCCTTTACAGGGAATAGCAATACCGACCCTATGGATTCTAGGAAAAGATATCAACAAGTAGCAATTGAAAAATGGAAAAACAAAAAAAAACGTGCAGCATTAACAATTGAGCCTATATTTTCATCTCATCAAAATGACCAGCTCACTTTCAAGAACAACTCATTGAATATGAACAAAGAAATACATACTGATAAATTAAGCAAACCTACCAACCAAGAAAAACAACATGTAGTGGAGCCTTCTTCAAGCCATGCGCAAGTAATCTCTGATTTGCACATACCCAATGGAACACTGTTGCAGTTTTCAAATTATTCTAAATCTTCCTTGCCATCTCCTAGCGAAATATATAGGTCAAGCGCTACTAAAAAATGGAGAGCTAAGAGAAATAAACAGTCATTTACTCATAAGCATCCATCTCAAATTAAAGATGCCGATTGTATTGGTAATCACAGTGAACCCCTTACAACATATAAAAGTATTCACTTGGAAAAGCACCCTTCAAATGCAAACAAAAGTAATTCATATACGATAGAAACTTCAATTCAAAGCGGCACTAATTTACACAATTTCCATATGGTTAATGAAAATACACCATCTTCTTCACAACCTACAGGTAATAGTTTCCATTTAAATTTTAAAGTTTCTTAAATAAATTTAATTGGATATTACTTTAGTGGATAGATTTATGGTCTAATGATAACATACCTACAACAGGTTGCCCAAGTACTAAAACATCCCAATCTACAGGTACAGTTCATTTTTCATAGTCATTTTCAAATCACTTAAAAAACTTACAGAGTTTACATGCTCAAGAAAAACTAAATTTTTGCATTTGCATTTTAATTATAGGTAAACATAAAAAAATGTGCCAAGAGATTCTGGATGACATTGCCGCTGAGCCTTTTGAATTAACTAAAAGTAAAAAATGTCCTTATTGTGGTGCCCTCAAATTTCAATACGAAACAAGTAAATTTTGTTGTTCGGATGGCAATATAAGACTGGCAAATAACTCAACACCAGATGTTCTTAAAGAACTTTTATTTTCAGCGACAGTGGAATCCAAATTATTTAGAGATTGTATAAGAACTATTAATAATCAATTTGCATTTACATCTTTGGGAGTGAAATGCGATAAAAATTTAACGCAACGTAATAAAGGAATTTATACTTTCAAGATACAAGGCCAAATGTATCATTTCTTGAATGATTTAGAAGCATCAGAAAATTTACAGCTATATTTTCATGATACCGAGCATGAAATTGCCAACCGATTTAAAGCATGCCCTAGAATATCTGAGTCTATAATTGAAAAGGTTATGTATGTTCTTAGAGACATTCCATACGCCAAATTTTTCAGAACCCTTAATGAGATAACAAATTTTGATGATTATAAAATCATTTTGAAGACTGTTCCTGAAGTTGATCAAAGAGTTTACAACAAACCACAAACTTCTCAAGTAGCTGCATTATGGCTTGATACTGAAGAAAATCAAGAACCATCCGAAAGAAATATAAGAATATATAACCATAGTGGCATTCCACATAAAATACAATACTATTTTGGTTGCTATGATCCCCTTCAGTATCCTTTTCTTTTCCCTTTTGGCGAGCTTGGGTGGCATCAAGGCATAGAAAAATTAGGAGCAACTGTTTCAAAAAAAAGATCACGAAATCCTACATCACTGCCTCTCATTTCGCCTTCACATATGGAATCTGCTGAAGAGTTAATTGAAGCAGAAAATGGTAAGTTCATAAACAAATACCTACAACTTCAACTGTTAATATATAAATACATACAAAAGTAATTACTTAAATAAGATAAGTCTAACATATATAATATATTCTGCTTTCAGTGAATCTTAGCACGCACGGGAGTCGAAATTTTGTTTCGATGAGGGATTACTATGCGTACAAATTACAAATAAGAGATAATGATGGGTCTTGTTTGTTAAATTTTGGAAGATTGTTTCAGCAATATATAGTAGATATATATGTCAAAATTGAATCACAAAGATTAGACTTTTTCAAGAATCAACAAACTGAAATTAGACAAGAATTTTTGCAAGGGATTGAAGACAGCCTAAATGCAGGAGAAACAAACGCATCAAAAATTGGGCAGAGAATTTTTTTACCAGCCGGTTTTATAGGGGGACCGAGAAATATGAAAAAAAGATACTTAGATGCAATGACATTGGTGCAAAGATTTGGAAAACCCGACATCTTTTTAACTATGACATGTAATCCTAATTGGCCTGAAATAAAAGAAATCTTGAAACAGAACGAAGAAACTCAAAATCGGCCAGATTTAGTAGCTAGAGTTTTTCATGCCAAGCTTGAAGAATTAAAAAAAGATATTCTAAAAAAACACATCTTTGGAGAAGTCGTTGCTTATACATATGTAATAGAATTCCAAAAAAGAGGTCTCCCACATGCTCATATATTAATCATACTAGCAAACAAGGACAAAATGTATAGACCTGAAGAATTCGACAAAATAGTTAGCGCTGAAATACCGAATAAACAGTTAACTCCACATTTATACAATATGGTCAAGAAACATATGATGCATGGACCTTGTGGAGAATTGAATGAAAATAATTCTTGCATGAACAAAAAAAAATAAATGTAGGTTTAACTATCCAAAACAATTTTCGGACCGAACTTTACAGATAAGTAATTCATATCCAAATTATCAACGTTCAAATAATAATGTTACAGTCAAAGTTAGAGGCCATATGTTAGATAATAGATGGGTGGTTCCATATAACCCATATTTACTTGCAAAGTTTAATTGTCATATTAACGTAGAGATTTGTTCCACCATACGAGCTGTGAAATACATTTATAAATATATTTGTAAAGGCCACGACAAAATTGCATTTCATATAGATACATCTAACCAAAATATACAGATAGATGAAATAGAACAATATAGAACTGCACGTTGGGTTTCTCCACCAGAAGCTGCATGGAGGATTTTCAGATTTCCAATTAGCGAAATAAAGCCTGCAGTTATTAATTTACCAGTCCATTTAGAAAACTATCAAACAATCAATTATAAGAAAAAAGATAGATTAGAAAGAATAATTAATAACCCAAAAAATCATAGAACTATGCTTACAGAATTTTTCTATATGAATAGAACAGATGAATATGCACAAGAACTAAATTTACCGTACGTAAAATTTCCTGAATACTTCGTTTGGCTAACTGAAGAAAAAAAATGGAAAAAGAGAAGTGAAAGAGATTCAATAGGCCGAATAGTAACTGTGCATCCTAACGAGGGCGACAGGTATTATCTTAAACTTCTTTTACTTCATGTTAAATGCCCGAAATCCTTCGAAGATATCAGATCTTTTAATGGAAAAATTGCCGAGTCAAATCATGAAGCTGCTCTTTTAAGAGGCTTATTACAAGATGATAACACACAAGAACAATGTCTGAAAGAAGCTGCAGTCTTTAAAATGCCATATGAAATGAGGAGACTATTTGCTAACTTACTTGTTTATTCATGTCCTAACAACCCTAGAGATTTATTTTATAAATTCGAAGAAGCTATGTCTGAAGATTTTTCGAGGAACTCAAACGTAAGTACCATAGATATTAAAAAAAAAGTTTTCCAGCAAATAAATGATTTTTTAGAATCAATGGGAAGAAGTATTCATTCATTTAACATTTTGCCAGATAATTTGACCTTACATATTGAAGAAGATAATAGAGAAATAATCGCTGAAAGAAATATTATCATTTGTGAAGAAGATTTAAATGCTATATCGTTACTTAACAAAGACCAGAAACAAGCTTTTACGATCATATTGGAGCGTGTGTATAGTGAAAAACCAGGAGCCTTTTTTATTGATGGCCCAGGTGGTACGGGAAAAACTTTTCTATACAGAGCTTTATTGGCTGATATTAGATCGAAAGAATATATAGCCTTAGCAACAGCTACTTCAGGTATCGCGGCTTCAATACTACCAGGTGGTAGAACAGCGCACTCGCGCTTTAAAATACCAATAGATATATCAAAGGGAAATTCATGTAAAATTAGCAAACAAAGTAACTTAGCAAACTTGATACGTGAAAGCAAGCTAATTGTATGGGATGAAGCACCAATGGCTAAAAAAACATCAATAGAAGCACTTGATCGTATGCTGAAAGATTTAACAGACTCACCTGAAGTATTTGGTGGTAAAGTTATTGTTTTTTGCGGCGATTTTAGACAAATTTTACCTGTGGTTCGCAAGGGAAATAAACATGACACCATAAATGCATGCATTACAAATTCCTATATCTGGCCATTACTAGAAAAAATTCGACTAATAGAAAATATGAGAGCTCGATTTGACCCTTCATTTACTGAATATTTGTTACGAATAGGGAATGGCGTAGAACCCACATGTAATAACAGTTCAGTTCGTTTACCTCCCTCGCTTATATTAACTAATGCTAATACAGAAGATGCTCTGGACCAACTAATTGCTAGAATATATCCTAATTTTCAAACTAATTCTGTACAAAATGCAGACAATATCAATGACCAGAATGACACAACTCCCAATTTTCAAATGAATAGAGCAATCTTATCTACTAAAAATTGTTTTGTCGACGACATAAATAATAAATTAATAAATGATTTTCCAGGTGAAATGGTTGAATATCTCAGTTTTGATGAAGTGGTTAATCCTATCCATAAAGGTCTTTATGAAGATATAATAAATTCTTTGACCCCTGGTGGAATGCCCCCTCATAAGTTACAGTTAAAAGTTAATGCTCCTGTTATGCTACTTCGAAACTTAGATCCTACGGAAGGCTTGTGTAATGGAACACGACTCATATGTAAAAAATTAAGTCGAAACATTATCCATGCACAAATAGCTGTTGGAGACTTCAAAGGGAAAAATGTTTTTATTCATAGAATTCCATTAAAACCTTCCGATGATGACCAAATGCATGTGGCTTACACAAGAACGCAATTCCCTATTAGACTGTGTTTTGCTATGACTATTAATAAAGCTCAAGGTCAAACACTAGAATCAGTCGGTATTTATTTAAGGGAACCAGTTTTTTCACATGGCCAACTATATGTAGCGTTATCTCGTGCAAAACAATCATCGGCCATTAAGTTTGTAATCAAACCACCTTTTTTCAGCCCACAAGAATTTGATATAAGAAAAACGTGGTATACAATGAAGTTCTTGAGGCAGCTTCAGTAATACAATGTACTTAAATACATTTTTATTTCATTTCAAAAACATAATATCATTTCTGCAAAAATGAAATTATATTAAATACCGAATAATTTTGCTAACTGCCTCTGCCTTCTATTACAAAATTTCTACAGGTGACAATGTCGAGGATATATCTACCGATTAAAGAGATTACAGAAGCCACCAACAACTGGACTGCACTTATCCAAGTTGTTGAGAGGCCACCCATTCACCAAAGCAAAAATGATTCGACAATGCATTATCGCAGATACTTATTCACAGATGAAGAGGTAAACAATTACGCAACATATTTCCTTTGTTAATTTAACATAATAATCATTTACTTAAATACTACTAATTATTACCATTGCATAACAGGGCACAAAAGTAGCTGCCGTTGTTTACAACAATGTCATTGACGAATTTACGCAACCGTTGCTCATGCCATACAAAAGATATTATGTTTCCGGAGCAAAAGTACGTCCAGAGATACCACTGTATCAGGTTGGTGATTACAAGTACAAATGGACTCTGGTTAAAGGTACCAATGTTGAAGACTATGAAGAACCCATGCCTCCACAACTTCCGTGCTCAATTGAAATTCATCAATTTGCAAATTTACACAAATATGCAGATACGGAGAATCCCAGAAGTGAGTATTTTATATACTTCATTTAAGAATATTAAAAAAAACATTTCTAGCTAAGTTAAACTGACAATTCCTAAATTTGCAAATTATCTACAGACTTGCTTGCAGTTATTGTTCATGCTTTTCCAAAAAGGACTGTTGGTACTAACACAACACGTGAAGTGATCGTCATCAACGAAGAGTAAGCAACAGATTTAACTAAATTAAGTACAAACAAAATATAGGCATGTATCTCATTCTTTAATTCATCATTTTATTGTTCTGCAGAATGAAACCAATGATTCTTACACTATGGAATCAGTTCGAGAAAGATGATGGTGAAACGCTGACTAATACAATTGCATCAGTTAACATTGTTCTAGCTATGAGAAGCCGAGTCACCACATTCCATGGTATGATTTAGATAAATAGTGTTAAAAAAAAAAATTACTTAGATACAGCATTCACTTGAACCAACTTTTGTGCCATCAAGGATTGTCGTTGTCGACTAAAGTTGGGACTTGCTTGATGGTCAATCCACTTATACCTGCCGCAGCCGATCTGAAACAGTGGTATGTTCTAACCTTAATTCTCATATAAACCTATAAATTTACATGTATATCTATTTATGTAAGCAAAACTACATTACAGGTATATTCAGAACAAAGACAGTGTTGCAAAACTTGTTGATGAAGGAGCATATAAAGACACAGACAAATTATACCCATGGCCTGAAAGCACTGATATAATTACTGTGCAGGAAGCAGTGAAGTCCCTCAAATATGTAAGATCTCAAATCTAAACGTTATAAATGATAAATTTAGTTAAACATACATAATATTGCATTTACAGTGAGGCCTGATATATTTACTCCACTCTCTTGATTCTCTATATATTAACACCTAACCCATTAAAAAAAATACCACAGTGAAAAAAAGATTCTATTTTCTATTTATATCAAACAACTAAAAGGTAGATTACGGTTATGCCAGTCATGCTTTTTGGGTAGTAATTACTGTTTTCTGATATATAGCTAAATTTTTTGAAACAACACTTATTAGTGGCATTGTAATTCTTCACAATAGGATAAATAGGTTTGCTTATACAGTTAATTATTTAAAGTTAATATCTTTTCGAAGAGCACACTATTGACAAGTGAAAAAAAAATTACAGATTTTTTATTACTATTTGTCGTCTCAAATGCTCTGTAAATTGTATATGCATTTTAAATCCAGTAATGCAATCAATGAAGAAGTCTCACTAGATAATAGATTTTTTTTTTCCAATTTCATAATTGCCACTAAACTCAGAGAAAAAAAACATGTTTGATCCAATCTTTTTTGCTTGATGATTATTCATTGTAGTATATAAAATGTAAATACTTATCCAACTGCTTGAATTATTAGATGCTTAAATTATTATATGCTGAAGATAAAATTGAAAGGCTTAAGTCTATATACTCTCAATATCTGCTTCAGACGAAGACTTGTTGGGTCAGCGGAAAAATGAAGCTCGCAAGCGACGCCAAATCCTTATGGGCAGCCACGTGCGGCAACTGCCGCAAGAATTACAATATGCCACCAAACACAGCAATGAAATGTCGAAGCTGCCAGGCAGATACTTACGTTGAAGCAAGGTACGTAGTTTTCATAATACCAAAATACTATTATTACAATGAACCACTATAATCTTACATGGTAGTCTACTACATAATTTTTGTTTTTTAAAATAATAGGTGTCGGATTCCAATGGCAATTAAAGATGAAACAGGAACAATATATGCAATAATCTATGGGACTGATGCAGAAAGAATTATCCCGTTCAGCGGGAATGATTTGTATGAAGCAGAGAAAAATGTTAGTATTCTTCTTGCTGAACTTTTTTAATGATAAAAGTGATATATAGGTATTAGTCATTACCATAACACATTAGTTATTAAATATCTTCACTTCCTACTGTACACCACATAATGTGTTTATACATTTACATTCCTTTTATGTATACCTAAAACATTTGACTTTATATAATAGATTGGCTTCTGCTATAAAACTTTACACTAACTTAAACTGATTGTAATCAATATACTTTGATTGTGCAGGGCCAAAACATAAAAGGTGAAATTGAAGCAGTGATAGAAAAGCACAGCGTTGTCTGTTTCATTAAGTATACTGAGTCTGGTTATCATACAATTCTAAAGCTTTATACCGCTGACCACATGAACACCGAGAAGAATATGCATGAAGAACAACTCTCCAAAAAAGACACAGCCAGTTCATCATCAGCCAAGGTGCAATATACTACAATGGCAATTTGTAGTTCTTCACATTCATATTTTATCAATGACCTACAATAACTCTTCTATTTTATGAAACAGGTTGTCGAAAAACAACTCTTCACCCCAACACTCAAAAATGTGCTCCAGTCCGTTGCCATGAAAATTGAGAAAGATCCAACCATCGGAAGTTCAGAACCACTTGTTAAAAAGCGCATCTACTTTGAAACCCAACCAATAGCCTCCTCCTCAATCACAACTGCCACACCATCAAAACAAGCTTCACCAAAACCAAGTCAGTTCAATCTTGAAACACATAAAGATCTACCTGCCAGCCCTTCAAAGAAAAGTCGACCCAAAATGGATTGACGCCTCGACACCTACAGCTTTTGACTTTTGGCTCGACACATCAAGCTTTTGACTTTTGAACTAGAAAAACATGAAGAATGGATGCTTCTTTTGCGTACAAATTTGAAATTTGCAAGGTTAAAAAAACCTACCTAAAAACTGATACTTTGTAGTCAAATCCTTAACAGAATTAAATGCATCTATTTACATATAGATGCTTTTCGATTCTGTAGAAGGAAAATACTCAATGTGTTATGCCCATGACTATGCTTTTGTGTATTGTATCTTTTGATCATCCAATTCTTTCTTTTTTATGTTTTCAATACTTCGTATAGGATTAGTAAACAAACTTGGGCCGGCTGTGCCTTGTACAGCCCTACCCTCCTAGTAAAAACTCAATAAATCAAATATATCACAAATCAAAATTACATAATTCACTAGGGTAAACATAATTTCTACTAATCTGACTATTCACTTCCCGCTCAGCCTCCACCTTTGCGCTCCGTGAAAAAAATTTCCATCTGCCGTGAAGTTGCAGACCCTGCCGCTTCTGTCCGCCGAGAAGTTCCAGTCGCCGTGTCCGTTGTACTGGAAAGCTTCAGTACTGGAAAGAAATACAGATGGATGGATTTTCACAACCCCTAATTCGGAAAAATCCATCCCAAAATCCCCCAAATTATTCCAACGCGAAAATCGTGGCCGCAAAATAAGTATAAATAATTAGGGATTTTTCATCCACTCATGGAAAATACAATCAACCACTCCGCCCATCAGAAGGCGGCGGAGCTATAACAGCAGCAGCAGCAGAAAACAGGACGGCGATGGAGCGGCTTCGCGGCCGATAAGCGGCGGCTGCCTTTGTCGATGGTCGTTGCCGACTGCGTCGAGCGGTGGTTCGAGGACGTGCTGAAGGAGGCGAGGGCCGGCGACATCAATATGCAGGTGCTCGTGGGCCAGATGTACTACAGTGGCTATGGCGTTCCCAAAAACGCCGGCAAGGTCTAATCTTTTCTCTCTTTCTCTTTCTGATTTTCACTGTGTGAAGGTCGAATTTCTGTGATTGATTATTGGAAAAAAAATTGATTTATTCTTTATCTATTTATCTGCTGTTTTATTACCTTGTGATTATCTCAAGTTTATGTGGCCTTTGGAAACTTAGGGGAGCCTTTGGTTTACAAGGACTTCAAGAGTGAGGTCAACTGTGTGGGGCGTTATCGGTAAACGTCCTGGTGAGCTTCTCATCTTTTCCTCTATGTTCGGTAAAAGATTTGTTCGAATCGAGCTGTTCGTGAACATAGCTTGCTCGAACGAGCACTGTTTGAACAGCTAATCAAGCTCTTTATTAAAACGAGCCGAGTCAAGCTTGTTCTCGAACAACTCATGTTTTTGTTTTAAAGAGAACATACTAGTTGAACATGTTCGCGAACGAATATTTCAGTGTTAGGGAACTACTCGTTTAGATATTTAGGTTATTAAAAGTGCTATGCCGAGTTTTTATGAACTTAAATGAGCTGAGCCTTTTGTTTTTTTATTAAACAAGCTGATGTCGCTTCCATCCGCCGTGAAGTTTCAGTCGCCGCGTCCGTTGTTCCAGCCCCGCCTCTGCGCGCCGTGAACAAAGCTTCAGTCTGCCGTGAAGTTCCAAACCCTGCTTCCGTCCACCAGGAATTTTCAACCGCCGCCTCCGTCTTTTCAGCCCCGCCTCAGCGCGCCGTGAACACGTTCGGTTCCAGCCCTCGCTTCCATCCGTCAGTGAAGTTTCAGCCTCCACTTCAGTCCGGCGTGAAGTTACAGTCCCCGCCTCTGTTGAACACGCTTGTCTTTCCTTCCGCCTCTGCCACCGGCACCGCCGACACAGAGACCTCTGCCGTAAGTTGCCCTACTCCTCAATTCTATGCCTACGTTGGATTTTTTTGGAATAGTTATTGTTAAATGTTTTATTATTTTTTTTAGATTATGTAATTGAATTGAGTGAACAAAGTATATGGCAAAGTTTGCTGAATTAAATGTTTCTTTCTTTTTTCTCCCCCTTTGTTTCTCAACTGATTCAACAATTTCCATGCACCAGCTCNTCTCTGAATGTTGCATTATAATATTCTGTTTACATGTGCATTCTTCTTCTAGGACCTTAATGCTAGTTTTGGAATTTGAGTCTAAAAAATGCTATATTGGCTTATGGTGAAAGTGTTGGGATTGATGCATTTGGATTTGGGATATCATTTTTCAGATACTTAGGTAGTGTTTGTATTTTAGATGAATATTTTGGGGGGAAAAGAGTTTATTTGGGATGAATATATGTAATTGAATTGAGTGAACAAAGTATATGACATAGTTTTCTGAATTAAAGAGCTTGTTACTATCTGTACCTTGTATATGCATCTACAATCCAGACCCTTATAACTCTGACTCACATAAATTATAAACCCTCAAAATTTGGGTGGGTAGATACAAAAGGGTCATCAACTGTTCGAAAACTAAAACACAATTTGTAAAGGATGTAAATTTGGTGAAGTTGACAACACAATCTCATCTAAATTTTAGCTTTGCCTTATCTGAAGATTGAACGCGCATGCTGCAGTAGCCTAAATCAGTTTCTATCAGTGATGTTATTCTTTTAGTTAGACGTTTGTAGGATATATAAGTTTTGTTACAGTTTCTTGCATGTTCATTTTGACAAGTTCTATGAAGTTCCTTTTTGGTTCTATTTAAGAAGGCGTGTATTTTGCAAAAATATAAATTTTAAAATTGAGAGCGAAGATGAATAGTTAAATTCTAAAGGGATAATGCACCTGAAATCGAAAATAAAGACTTCAGAGGAGACCACTTAGTGTTGAACTAGTTCAAGAATTTGTCCCTCGTCTTTCTTGCTACTTCAAACTTTTCTGTCAATCATAGGTGATTTATTTTCCATAGTTTCCCTCTACTTAAGATCATTATTCATAACAAAATGAATCCAGCTATTGCATTCTTTCAAAGAGACTTCAAGCTCAGTCACAAACTCCTTTAATCGATGGCTATAATTTGAATATTGCTTGAGGTCATGGTGAACTCATGTGTTCTGTCCTTTATTTTTAATCATCTATGAATGGAATCTATGGTCTCCATGAGTTTGATGCCTGAGTTTGAGACCGATTGATAATTATGGGAGTGAAAATCTCAATCTTTAGAAGGTGTTTGTTCGAATAGAGTTAGAAGTCCTATCTTTTTTTAATTTGCATGTATGCTTATTCTGTTCTAGACTTGACCTTTTGTTATGTGCTGAAAAATCATTCAGATGTTGGGAGTGCAGATAATTTTTTTTTCAGGTGTTTTGATTTTTAGTTCCAATGTGTCAAAAAATAAGCTCTTATTTTTTCTTTTCTTTTCTTTCACTTTTGTTTTCCCCTCAGGTATAGCTTGTTTCACCATTGTTGATAAGCAGTTTGTATTTCTCACCATAGTAACACCTACTTGGACTATGTTAAAATGTTGTCATTTTTTCTCCCTTTCTTTTCTTTTCGAAGCTATATTGTATTTGGAACTTCTGCAGATTCTGGACCAGATTCCATAGTCGGACGAGCTGTGGTTATCCATGCTGATCCCGATGATCCTGGACGAGGTGAGTTTATGTGTTCTATGTATTTCCCAGGATAATTAAACTAGATTTTAACAGGTAGCTATAAGTTTAATATAACATTAACATTTGCTTAAGTAGGACACTTGATAAACATCATTTCTGATATGGTGGTGCTGGTAGATAATTAATCAACCGTTAATAAACGATGAATAGTTCAAACTGATTTAGTGCTTATTGTTTTTGTTTTAGTTTGCTGCAATTACTAAACAATGCATCTGTATCTCTGAATGCTGGAATATAATTATTTAAAAAATGTGTATTGTGTATGAAAAATCGGTAAGTCTTGTGTTAAGCCCTCCTAATTTCAGTTTTGACAACTACTCATACCTTCATTAGAAAATGTCATACTTTAAAAATGATCATCAACAGAATTTATGAAAAAGTATGACGTTTGATGGTATAAGTATAAATTTTTATTTATAGAGTATGGTGGGTTGACCCGCCGAATGGTTAAGCCGCCTTACACAAGAATTTGTAATGAAAAATAACACTTCCTGAGGTTATCTCACCACTTGAATTTTGAAAATCACTTAAAATTTGTTCTACCATCTAATGACTGCCTCTTTTTGTTCAGGTGGATGTGAACTTAGCAAATCCACTGGAAAAGCTGGTGGAAGAATTGCTAGTGGTAAGGAAAAATAATTGTTGAATCTATATTAAAATGCATATCGATGCAAGAAAAAATTGGACTACAATGTCATTTTTTTAAAGTACTGCTGCTACTTCACATTGATGAACTTACAACTGATTATATTAGCCACTCTTATGGAATCCACTAAGACTGACCATAAAAAAGGTTCGTAACCATCGACCAACTACTTGCGTTTTTTTTTTTTATAANTTTTGATAATTTTATGCAGGTATAATTGGTTTTCATGACCAAGTAAAATCTACATTTTTGTGGGTTTTATTGTCTTAGTAACCGGTTTGTGGGCATACATGCTCGCATTTTGTTATCTTATAATAAGCATTATGTTCTTTTAGTCGTGATTTATTGTTATTTATGGTTTTTCGTTTAGGTGTTTGATTTGGAAGAAGCATACTTGGAAGAAGAAATTGATGATATACAGAGACGGTGGACCAAGTATTTTCTCGATATCACCTCATTGGCAAAGTAGTAGACTATATAGGCTTTTGTTTGGAATATTTGATTTATGTTGAACTATTTAAATTTTCTAGTATTGTTAGCTTTTTGAGAAATGTTAAACTACGTTGGTATTATTGATAATGAACTAATTTTAGTAAATTTCTTTTATTTTTATCTATTTAGTTGTATTGATGGTACATTTGGTTTCAATTAAACAGGTAAAAAAAAAGACCATTTATCTACTTTTTACATCGGGTAATAAAGTACGATATAAAAAGAAATTATATCGGTCATAAATACTACACATAAAATCTTACATCTTTTATATCGGTTCAAAACAACATATAGAATATGATTTTATATATCGGGTTCGATGTCCAACCCATATAAAAAGATATTTTTTATATGGGATGATTCATTCACCCGATATAGAAAATATTTTCTATATCGGTATTCTATAATCCGGCTTTCCAGATGTATCTTCTAGATGGGGTGGTTCACTTACCCGATATAAAAAGTCTACTTCCTATATGTGGTATTACCCGATATAAAAAGATGACACTTATTATATGGGCTGAAACTATATCGAAGCTGAAACCGATATAAAAAGTCATTTTCACCCCATATAAAATGTGTTTTTTCCACTAGTGACTTATGTGTTTACAATATTTCTATTAAAATAATATCAAATATAAGGACATCTTAGTCCATCTATTTTCTTATTTTTTATTTTTACACAAATCATTCCTCAATAGTGTAGAAATATTAATTTTTATTTTGTGAAATTGACTATACTTCTTCCTCCGATTATCCCTTTGTTCGACATTCTGACTTTAAAAATAATTAAGAAGTCTTGACTGAACATTTTTCATAAGTGAGCAATTTCTTTCTTGGTTTTGCATAAAAAAATAAAATATTTGTGCATCTCATCACTACATAATAATAAAATAATAATAATAATAATAATGCTAATTACAAAAACAATAATAATAATAATAATAATAATAATAATAATAATAATAATAATAATAATAGTTTGGTTTTGCTGTGGCAAATGAGTGAAGGATCACAAGTATAATAGATGAGTGCATGTTTTATAGATTGAATCTTTTTACTTTGTAAGGTATTTTAATAATGAATTTGGATACTAATAATTCAATTCTCTTTAATATCTTGTTAACTAAGTCCGAGAATACAATACTTTTATGAATTGAAAAGTTATAATCATGGCATCTATCAATGTGATCATGAGTTAAATGTATACTCTATATTGGGACACAAATCGTGTATGCTGTTGTATACTGTCTCTCTTTGTACCACACAATAACTAAGTTGGAAGCTCTTCCTTCAACTGTCTTTGCCTTTTTTCTCTCACCGAAAATACGGCTTTTTCGAATTTTTTTTCCATTTTATTTCTAATATGTGAAAAATGGGTCGAAAAAAGGAATAGTTTCTTCGGGGCCGGTGGTGGATCCATGAAAACTTCCTCCGCCAGATCACCATGAACATTTTTTACATCAAATTGTCTCCAAAGTCCTAAAAGTGACCAGGCCCGGCTTAAGACATTGACTTGGGTTAACAAAGAGATGAAATCGAATATCATATATATACGAATATAGAAGAGCATCTTATAAGCGGAAAGTTTTAATACGCGATGTTTCACCTAAGTCGCACCCTGACTGCTGGGGTGGGGGTCGGCCTCCGAACCGTACGTGGGACGAGTTTCTGCCTCATACAGAGTCTTACTGAAAGACTCATAGTAGCCCAAAAATTACTTATTCTTGACTTCACTTCGCTTCCCTTCGTTTCCCCTTTTTTAAATCAATTCCCATATGCGGACACAGAGTGGTTGTGACCGATTCGATAGAAGGGAAAGAAAAGTGTGTATTTTTCATTGGGGATTCCCTGGAAGCACATCTGCCCTCCATGAATAAAGAGATGGAGCTCTTTACTTGAAATCCTTATTAAGTAAAGAAGTCCTGTCGCCCCCTCCTTTTCTGTCCAGCGATCCTCCGCAACCACCAGGCAAGCCTTGTCCATGTCATAGTCAGGGTTCTTTTTTCTGCCCCTTGGAGTCTGACGAGTGTTTTGGCTAGCGGCGGGTCTTGCCGCTCCGTCAATCTCCTCGACTTCGGAGGGGGTTGCCGTCCGTTGTGGTTCTCGAATCTTGCCATGGGTGTTCGCTGGCAAGCCGGTGGGTATGGTCTCGCGCGTCTCAGTTCCGATTTATGGAGGGTGCTGCCTGTTAGTCTCTAGCCTCGGGTGGCCCGACGATCCACTCGGTTGCCGGCCTGCGGGGCTACCGGATCGCAAGACTGTGGGACTATTAGGGCGGCACCTCTGTGGGTCATGTCTTCGAGACACCGGTTTGTTTCGTGGCGGCTCCCCCTCTCTTTCCCTATGATGAAGTCCAACGGAGTTCAGATTTGGACTAAGAACAGACTTATAGCCAGATTTGTCTAGGCAGTTCGTGTTCAGCCGCAGTTTTCGGGTTTGAGGTTTTGATCTGTTGCTTTGTTGGGTTCGTTGTTGCGATTTGGGACTCGGTTGCCAGTTTGGTTGGTTATGGAGGTCAACTTCTTGGATTAGGGGGAGATTTTATTCTTCTAAGTTTTTCTTTTTTTAGGTGCGTGTAGTGCTCTGTTTTTTGTTTCTCTGTTTATCTTGTTTCGTTAAGTCCAGCTACGTCTGGCATCTAGTCTCCGTTTTGAAATTCTTGTCCCCTTGATGGAGTTGGGTTTTGTTAGTCTCCGTTTTGGAGTTCTAGTCTCATTGATGGAGTTGGGTTTTGTTTTTGTTTTGTGTGTGTTTTTGTCTCCTTATTGGAGCTTGTACCCTTTGGACTCACGTATGCCAAGGGGATAGATCTAGATTTTCTGGTTCTTTGTGTGTCAGTTGACATCCCATCTGTACTCTTTTAGAGTTTTTCAGTTATTAATATATTTGTCGTTTGAAAAAAAAATGTATACTCTATATCCAAAGTATATATATCTCAACATGTGAAAATAAATTTTTGAAACTTAGTTACCCAAAAGATGGACAAATATATATCAAAATATATTAATTTGAATGATTTAATCTTCCAAATTTTGTGCTTGAAAAAAAATTAAGGCAAAATTTTATTAATCCAACTTTATTAAGCTACATTTATACAATTTCTATTGAGTTTATTGAAGGTAGTTCTAGATTAAAGATGACCTATAAAGTTTGTTCACTATATTCTAACCTTATGTTTTCCTTTACAGAAACAATGACTACACCCACTATAATAACTCGATTTTTTTATATTCTTAAATTATTTAAAATTTTAAAAATAAACAGTTGTTAAAACTAACACAACATCATAAAAACCATATTTAAAAAAATAAGAATTCCAAAAAAGGATAAAATAATAAAAAAAATATTCAATATGAATGTTGGAAATTTCCAACATCAGTGCAATGAACAACATGACATATCCAATAAATATAAAACAATTATAATTAAAATATGAAATTAATGATCAAGAGGTAATATTGAACTTGAAAAAAATATAATTGATATTAATTACGCACTCAGTTAGTTAGCCTTCTTAAACTACTACAAACCTATATGACAATTTTTGTAGATGATCCTGCTTTATTTGGTGAAGGGTTGTTATGTGTTTTGCTCCCCTGTGTTGTATACTGCCATTTGGTAGTTCGAATATTGTTTCCTTAGGTGTTATGAAAGTTCTTTTATCGTTGGAAAAAAAAAAAAGTTGGATAATCTTGAAGTACCAGTGTTTTGAGACCCGGATCGGCCCGGCGGGTCGACCCGGAGCCGGAACCGGTTCGGGTGGAGTATTTGGACCGGATAACCAAGGACCCGGTCAAACCCGGTCAAAACCCGACAGAGACGCGGCCGGGTCAACCCAGTTCACGCGGTCCATATATATTTTTTATATTTTTTTTATTTTTTTTTTGTTTTTTAAAAATAAAAATATGTATATATGTTTATATGGTAAATATTTATCATGAAATACATATTATTAACACTTTAATATACAAATTTTATACACAAAATATTTAATTTGTTACTTTTATGTATATTTATATAACAAAAATACTCTATATATAATTTTAAAATTTTTTAAATTAATTATCCGGTTCAGCAATTGACCCGGTGATCCGACGGTTGAACCGGTGACCCAATGACCCGAGAACCTGCTTGAGTCGATCACCGGGCGGGTTTAAAAACTATGCGCTTAGGGACTTCTTTAGGAGTCATTTCTTTCCATTGATCGGATAGGAGAGAGTGAAAGCATAAAAAATGGAAAAAATGGAAGAGAGCGGCTTTTGAATAGCCTAAGTGACTATCCACATTCCACACTAACTTCTTTCACCTGGTTTGGACTTTGTCGCGTCTATTGAGTGATTTGTTCTAAAAACGTTATTGTACTTGAAGCTTTTTAATTATTATTCGAGCATAGATTAATTATTAATTTCCTGATAATTGTTAGTGACGCTCACATATTTAGTTTTGCAATTCAATTTGCTTATAATTGTTCTTTTGACTAATCATGCAATACACCACATAAAACTTACTTCTTTTTCCTTTTTCTTTTTTATTTCTTTATATTATATTAATTTTAATTCAAGTTGGATATTATTGTTTTACATCAACATTGTAATTATTGTTATTATATTGTGAAAGAAAGTCTAATACATACGCTACAAAATTGTTTATAGGATTTTAATGTATTATTAGTCCTTATTGTGTTTGAATTAGTTTGGTTGATTAGACATTTTTTTTCTTGAAATAATTATGTGTTTACAATATTTTCATTAAAATTATATTAAATATAGAACTTTTTTGTCCATCTATTTCTTTTACAAAAATCATTCCTCAATAGCGTAGATTGATTAATTTTTTATTTTGTGAAATTGAAGATACTTCCTCCGATTATGTCTTTGTTCGACATTCTGACATTTAAAAATAATTAAGAAGTCTTGAATACGTATTTCTCATAAATGAGTGATTTCTTTCTTAGTTTTGCATAGTGCATCTCCTCACTACATCATCACATAAATGAGTGATTTCTTCTCCCCCGTCTGTGGGGAACTCAGTCTTCTACCGGAGTATCAAAGGCTGTTGTCTCTCATTGAAGAAAAAGAGCGATAGGGATCATGGCAGGAGATAACTCGAAGAAGAACTTGACGAAGAGGGCTCTTGGAACAGGGCCGCTGCCCGGATGGTCGTCGTCGCCTACTACCCCTAAGGAGACGTTGCTGGCCCCAGGTGTGACCCCGACACCGCCACCAGGAGCTCAAGGGCGTTTGGCGAACCCAGGAGAATCGGGTGGCCTGGTCAACAAAGAGAAGGAGCTCGGCGGTGCAACGAGTGGAGGAATTGGTCAGGTCGGCCAGGTCCCTGATGGGAACACGGGTCAGTTGGCTCCGCTGAACAATCAACAAATTGGCGGCCGGCTGTGCCCATTCGCCGGAGGAACGCTATGGAGTCATGGTAGTGTGACAGCAGCTCGGACCGGAAGCACTCGATGAAGTGCTGTTCTACATCTGATGATAGGAAAGATCCTTGACCATCCCTTTCTGCCTGAGCGATGCGCTCATCAACTTCCTCTCGAAGCTTTTTAAGCTCGGCGTCTTTGGCTTTGAGCTCGGCGTCTTTAGCTTTAAGCTCGGCCTCTTTGGCTTGGAACTCGGCTCGAAACTTCTGCGTTTTGGTCTTTTGACGATCGAGGGCCTTTTGAAGGTCGGCAAGTCGCTCCTCGCCCTACTCCACCTCGTCCTTGAGGGATTTCACTTCGTCATCCTCGTCCTCCAACTGCTCGTCGAGAAGAGGAGCTATGCCGGCCAGAGCCTGTTTGGGATAGGGGTTAGATTTGCATAGATTTTACAAAATTTGTTTAATAAAGGTGTAAGTTGAGTGTGATAGGGTCATACCAGACCAAGGTTGTAAGTGATCGTCTCGGCTCGACTCTTTTTGGTGGGCTATTGCGTTGTCTTGCCCTTTGGAAAAATGTTAAGGAGGTAAGAGCTGGTCACCGATACGTCCTTGTTCCCGGCAAACCGAGTTGGCTTCTTGGCCCGCAGGGAGTCGGTGTCAGCTCGGCACCTTGTGCCGATGTGGTCCCCTCTTTAGGGTAAGTCTTCTTGCGCTTGAAGGACCTCGTCGGATGCTCACGGTAGACCCGGCGATCGGGGACCTCGTCCAAGGGAAGGTTGACCACCTCCTGCGCTGGCGCTGCTCCTGAGGACCTGGCAGGGGGGTAACGCAACTCTGGAGAAGTTCCGCTGCACGACAAATACAAGGAAAGAACAAAAAAAAAAAATTATAAGTAAACAAGTTATATGAGTAGAACTAGCATAAAGGAAAGAGTAAGCGATATGACGACAACTTGTGGCGTCGAGGCCTACCTATGTCATACACGGGGTCGGCGGCACAGCTCGACAGCTGAAAGTGCCGAAGGAGTCGGTCATTACAGGTCAGCTTCACCACGTGAAGGGGGGTCTTATTCCATTAGGCGATAAGGGTGTCATATTTGACGTTCCGTCTTGGTTTCTTTCGCTAACCTGGTAGCTCGTCCAGCCACTCGGATTGGAGGTCGGAAATTTTAGAAGGGGGGCGAACGAAGAAATATTTGTTTTGCCAATTATGAATTTTTGACTTAGGGTTTTTTAAGAATTTCGCATTGTTGTGGGGCATGAGGTAGGGTGAAGTATTGTTCGAGGATTGGAGATTGAGACAATAGAAGCATAGTTCTGGGTCAAACTCGTCGAGGTGAGCTCGACAAGTCATGATAAAACCAACGAGATAGCGTATCGCGTTGGGAGGAAATTGGTTCAGGGGAAAGCGATATAACTGGCTCAATTCGTGTAGGTCGAGTTGTCCGAGTAGGAGATGGGGTTAGAAGGTGTCGCTTGGGAGTGGGTGGCACCCTTTTTTGTTTTGTTGGAGGTTGTGGTCGACGAGGCTTGGAGGGCCAAAGTAAGGGAAGGGTCCTGTATAGGTGTGGGGGTGTGAAGTAGGAGAGGACGTACTAGTGCTCGTGGTGGACGATGAGGTATTAGGGTTCATAGTTGCGGTTGAGGATTCTAATGGGTATGATAGCCGGAAAACAATTGACGAGCATATGCGAGAAAGAGATATACATAATGAATAAATGCAATTGTGCACAATAATAATGAAGGTGATAGTAGGGGGATGAGGTC